CCGAATTGACCTGTGTCATGAGTTTACCTAAATGTTGAAAATTACCTCTCCTACACATTCGGATTCCCCTCATGAGCCCTCTAGGGTCATGGGAGTGAGCTCAACTACAGGATTCGGCTAAACCTCCTAACACGGAAACTGACAACCATTCTTTGTTTGAACAAAAACTTTTTTTTTTGTTTTTAAAAGGTGAGCTGGAAGCCACTCCAGAACTTACTAGCTATTAGTTAACAACTAGGATCCATTACAGACCTTATTTAAAAAGCCTCCTATTTACCAGAATAAATTTATGCCTCCTGGAATCCCAACTGCTGAGTGAAATGTCAATTAGCGGAGTAGCTTATTTATTGCTTCATTACCATGATACTCCGACAAAGAGATATATCTGACACGCATGTATGAAATATTCGAAAAACTGATTGCATTTAGTAAACTGCATTATTTTTTTTCTCTGTTAACATCTTTTTATTTTTTATTTTTTTGGTTAGATACCCCAAAGAATCACCTACTGATATGAGCAAACACTAAAAAACTGTGGCTTTTATGATGAAAAAAAAACTATAAAAAAAATAAGATTCCAGGTCGACGGGGTTTCTCTGTGGAAATTTTCTGCAGGTGGCTTCCGCGGCTGGGGATATTCTGACAGGTAACTACAACCTTGGATTAGTGGTGTCAACTGCGACTCTGGTCCAGAATCTGTGCTTTCACGCTCCTCTTTAAATTCCCATCATTTCTCCATTGCTAATTTAACCCTTTCTTACTTATTACACAACATTGTTACAGTATGATATTTCATCCTCTCCTTCTTCTTCTTGATACGTCTAAGCTCATTTAAGCAAGCTTAAATCTAATAGAAATACACCATTATAAGAAACGATACCTTTTATACACACCACAGAGAGTGCACTTACAGCCTTTTTTATTTTTTAATTGTTTTCATTACCGTCTAAACATCCATAACAAAACCTGTTTTTTATACAAATGTATCTATACATATATATAGGGAATTCACGTTCATGAGCAAACGGTTGTATTAAATACAAGAGAGTTGACACCACTTGCCCAGGAAAGGCGTTGGGACAAGGGGGCGACACTGAATCAGGGACACGCAGTACAACGTCCAAGGGGGGCTGGTTAGGGGGGGGGGTGTCACAAGGACTGGCACGTCAGGATGAGTGGCACTTGATGCCTGTCTGTTGGCAAGGAATGCTGCCCTTCATTATTATTGTTTTTTTTGTTTTGTTTGTTTTAAAAGTATGTCATAATTATTATGATCATTTTGTTTTAAAGATTATTAGTACTATCTTTCCAAAAATAGAATTTCCTGTGTGACTGTGCAAAATGTCAGTTCAAAAGATATATTTAAATTGGTCTGATGTACATTTGTTTAATTGTCATTTCTTATTGTGGTGATTTTGTGAAATACTGCATGTGTTTTTGTCTTCTTTTGGAAGTCTACACTAGAGCATAATTATCATTGTAAAAATTATCAAATTAACTAATGAATATCAAGTAAAAATCAATCTTAGTCTACACACCTACCATACAATTCTCATTTTCTTCGTTGATAATGAGTACAAACATCCCATATTAAAAAAGTATCAATGAAAACAAAGATAACAACATCTCATTGGAACAGGAACAATTAAATACATCACAACAATAACCAGAAAAAATGCTGCAGTATCCCTTATCATCATAATGAAAATCCTTCGTAATCTTAGCATAGAAAACGGCCAATTACAGCATTCACCAGTCCACACGTCCATCAAGTTTTCCCTTCATCACTGACGCGCGCACTCCTGGCTTGGTGCACTGAGAGCGATCTTACTTTATTGCTTTGAATTCAATCCCAATCCAGTTAAGTACACAAATCCAAAGGAGACACTGATAATCCATTTTCACACGTAAAACAATTGCAACACCTTCAAATATCGTCAACATGAATGATTCAGACACAGTAGCTAACAAGTGTTACCTAGAAACATTGGCACGTAAGGTTCACATCGAGCTTTTTCACTCTCTCCCTTTGTACATAATGATAAAGAAAACGACAGGCTGCCCTGGGAGTCCTCGCCCCAAAATTGTTCGCTTACCATAATCTCAATACTCTCAGAATCAGCACAACTCACAGTTGAGAAAAACTAGTGAAAGAAACGTATTAGAAAAAATGTTTAACAGCAAAATATATACTTTTTCTCTTTCTCATTCCCATCTCTACAACCTTTGGTTCAAACAACAGTCCCAGGGTCCTGTGAAATGCGACCACCGCACGGAAGGCTTGGCCTCCTCGCGCCGCGTCTTGGCACGAAATTGAAAATAAGGATGCAGTGGGTGCCATTTTAGGAGGGTGGGTGAGTCCTCCTCACACCAGCCACTGAGGGCCGTGGTGGCTTTCGGGAGGCATTAGCCCACACAGGTCAGTCATCACCCCGCCTCTTGAGTGACTCAGCTCAACGCCTGGCTCTGCTCGGGGCACAAACATGGCCTATGCAATAACCAGGCTTCGTTTCACATTGCATATATATTGCATTTGCATATGTAATGGTTGAGTGCATAGGAGGAGTGTATCAGCAATTCAACTTGTCCACTGCTCGGTGGCCAACCAGGCCCACACGGGTCATGCCTCTCAAATCACTGGAAAGAACTCCATAAAACAGCACTCCCTGAGTTGGAAGAGGCAATCATGTATACACGATTAAAGTTGGGGTCACAACTAAGTTAAAAATGTATCCAAAAAGTAATAGAAAACTTGTGACCCTAGACACAAAACATGAGGAAGTTACAGGCCCTCTGAGAGACGTTAATCGTCGTTCTGTTCATCCAGAAGCCAAAAGGGCAACCGTCTTACAAAGGGCAGCCCCCACACCACGAAGGAGGAAAAACAGGGAAGACAATGTAGGTGATCGAGAGGAGGGAGGGTGTGTCAATCACATATACAAGAGAGTATTTACCCATAGGATATAAAAAAGCACAACTCGTCAGTTGTAGTCAAGTTGATATCACGGTTAGTAAAAACCTTTGAGTTATCAGTATTGATGAATTGAGCTTATAAATTATGAAATCAGTCCTTTGAATGTGAAATGCCCACAATAAACGACAGTACTTAAAAATTACTGAGTAAAAAATTGCCATGGGAATGTCGGGCCTTCGGTGAGGTATTCCCCAGTCGTTGTGAAATATACATGAAGAAGTAGCATGAACAATCCCAGTACTGATTAGGTAGTTCTTCACCCGGTAGCTAACAAAGGCTTATCGTAAATCGTTGAAACAGTACTAGGAGTAGTAATTTGAGGAGGTGGAAGAGGAGGAGGAAGGAGGGTTGACGTCGAGGTATTCTGAGTCAACCAAGAAGATTTGAGATCTGTCTGGGGAATGGGTGGGGGGAGGAGAAAGCCGAGGTCAGTAATACTGGTAGTGGTACGAGGGAGGCGGGGAGGAGTGGTGCTGGTGCCTGGGGTACGGTGACGAAGGGTACTGGTTATAGGGAGACGAGGATCTCTCCTTGCTGAGCTGGGGGCCGGGGGTGAGAGGGGGGCCAGGAGTGCTGGGCTGCAGGGGGATGGCGCCGCTCGTCACGAACAGCTCCCCGTGGGTGTGCGTGGTGAACGAGGGCGACAGCTCCGATCTTGGTATTGGAGACATTTGGCGCGAGGTTAGCAACGGGGAGTGAGACGAGGGGGCCACGATGCGGCTGATGGGGGGGAGGGGGTTAGCCGTAGGAGAGAGAGGGGGGCTCCCGACCCCTCCCCGCTCCACCATACCCAGACTCACGAGCGGAGACATCTGACCATGGGGAGACAGCTGGGAGTACGGAGGCAACTGGGTGTGGGGAGACAGCTGGTTATTGGGGGAGAGCTGGTTGTGGGGCGATAACTGATTATTCGGGGACAGTTGGTTGTGAGGCGAGAGCTGGTTGTGAGGAGATAACTGATTGTGAGGAGATAACTGTGAGGGAGATGAAATGGTCCTGGTCACGGGGGGGCCGTGGAGGGGGGAATTCGCTCTGTGCAACTCAGGGTCGTGTCTGGGCAGCGTGAGGTCGAGGGAATGGCGATCGTCGTGGTGGGAGTCGGCCACGTATACCGTGGTGCACACCGTGCCTGGTCTCAGGGCGTCGCTCGTGTACGTCAGGGTGCGGCCCGTCATGCTGAGGTCCATCGTGTGAGAGGGGACGCGCTCGAGCTCGTACAGCTGCGTCCTCCCGGACTGGTGACTGACTTCCCCGTGGTACCTCTGCTGCAGACTGGCCAGGTCGGCGGGGCGGATGAAGAGGTTCCCGCGCGACATGTCCACGCACTGGTCCACAGGCAGAGGCGAGCGCATTCCGTCCGAATTCGCGGGATACGAGCGGAGCGCGTCGGGAGTGGGACTCGGCGACAGGTACGGCGACCTCGGGGGTTCCGGCGAGCGCAGGGCGGCTAGCCCCCGGAAGTCGTGGGGCTGGAGCTCGGGCAGCGGCAGCTGATCCGCCAGGTGGTCGTTCCGAGGTGACAGCTGCGCGCTCTCACCCATGGGGTCCAGCCCCATAGAAGCCTCGGAGTCGTCGAGCTGGCCGGCCAGGCAGTGCTCCTGGCTCACGGGGGTCAGCTCGGCGTGGCGGTAGTGCTTGTAGCTCATGTCGAGGCCCACCGACAGCGAGGACAGCGACACCGGGAGGCCCTGGGTCACGGGCAGCTGGTCAAGCACGTGCAGCGTCGGCTCGAGACCCCCGCTTGAACTCAGAGGCGTGGGCGGGGCCATGGGCGTTCCTGGATCCACGGGCGTTGCGGGCGTGGGTGGCGGCAACTCGTCGGATTTGACCAGGGCGAGATTGTGGGCGTGGTCCGAGTGTTGTACGTGGTGGTGGGAATGGTGCAGGTCGTCGTTGACGGAGGTGGGTGGGAGATGGTCGAGAGCGGCGTGCAGATTGTCTTGCAGGTCGTGGCTGAGCTGGTCGTGCAGGTCTCGGGAGCCTATCGTCTCGTGCACGACCATCACTTCCGGGAGGTCTCGGGGGTCGTACTCTCGCTCCAGTGTGTACTCGAGGTGCGCCCGCTCGTCGTCGGCGGCGCTGGTCGTGTACTTGATGTGCGTGGCGAGGGCGGCGTCGTGCGGCAGAATCTGCTCGATGGACGTGACGACCGTCGCGGGCGGCAGCGGCGAGTACCGGCCGCTGTAGCCCAGCAGGCGGTCGTGGCTGCCGATGTTGCGGCTGTCCATCTTCATGTTCTGCTCGGCCACGTTGAGCGCCGCCTCCACCAGCAGGGAGGCGGTCGACTCGCGCCGGTACAGCTTGTCCTCGCCGCCGCACTCCTCGTCCTTCTTCCTCTTCTGCAGCAGGTCCTCCTCCAGCTTGTCGTCGAAGTCGTACACGTCCCTGTCGTTGTAGTCGCGGTCGGGCATGTCCATGGGGTCGCCGAGCCACTTGCGGGAGCCCTTGCTCACCAGCCGGGTGGCGGCGGCGTACTTGGTCACGTAGCCGTGCAACGTCGCGGCGGGAGGCAGCTTGGCGGCCGCGGCCAGGAGGAGGTCGGCGCGCGATGTGGGAGGCCCCTCCGTGGGCGTGAGCGGCGCGAGGGGCGGGTCGGAACTCTGGGACGAGTCCTCGGGAGCTGGCGGTTCGGTGGGCGTGGGCGTGCTGGGTTCGGGCTGCTCGGGCTCAGAACGGGGCTCGGGCGCGGCCTTCCTCGACGGGTCGTTGACGAGGCCGCCCGAGTACGAGTCGAAGGTGTACGGGATGCAGCGCTCGATCTTGGGCATGTTGTCGCCCGAGTATCCGTGTACCTTTTTGTAGTGGAACTGCAGGCATTGCTTCGTGGTGAAGGCCGCGTTGCAACTGGTCTCGATGCACCTGCAACATGGCGGAGGTCTTAGGCAAGAGGAAGAGTTTAGTAAGGAGAGTAATAGCGTGCAAGGAAGGAAACTGCTGCAAGTAAATTTTAGTATATCGTTTATGCTACTATTTTGCTGCTGTTTTGCCAATTCATCAATTAAAAGAATAATGCTACTTTATCATCAGCGTTCACTTCTCCCTGATGTTCCACACATTCATATACACACAACCAGGTATACAAAAATACACACAGGTAAACATTCACACACTTTCATTCACTCATTCGTCTGCCCACTCACCCATACATCTACATCCAAATCCACATTCACATCCACATCCACGAAATTATTCCTCCATCCACCCACACATAAACATCCACAAATCTACTCTTCCACTCAACTACACATCCAAAATCCACATACAGGAAACTACCCTTCCACTCACACACTCATCCACATCCACGAGACTCCACCCTACTCCCTCCACATCCACACATCCACACATCTACATCAACATCCACACCAGCGAACAAGCAACACTTACTTGAACGGTTTGACTCCCGAGTGCGTCAACATATGGATCTTGAGATTGCTTTTGTTCTGGAACATTTTGCCGCATCGGTCACAGGTCGCGCCCGTGCTCAAGTCCTGTGACAGTGGGTTGGAAACAAATAAAAAAGATTAAATTCAAAACCCAGTGAGAAGGTGAGTGATAGTGACAGAGCAGAAAACTGGAGAAAACGGGAGATTATGAGTGATAATGAGAGAGGAGAAACCGGGAGAAAACGAGAGATTATGAGTGATAATGAGAGAGGAGAAACCGGGAGAAAACGGGAGATTATGAGTGATAATGAGAGAGGAGAAACCGGGAGAAAACGAGAGATTATGAGTGGTAATGAGAGAGGAGAAACCGGGAGAAAACGAGAGATTATGAGTGGTAATGATAGAAGAGAAAACGGGAGATTATGAGTGATAATGAGAGAGGAGAAACCGGGAGAAAACGAGAGATTATGAGTGGTAATGATAAAAGAGAAAACGGGAGATTATGAGTGATAATGATTTAGAAGAAAACGGAAAACTATGAGTGGTAATGATAGAAAGAGATAGAGAGAGAGAAAAAATGTGAAGAGTGGAGAGATAAATAGATAGACAGATAGATAGATGTGAAGGAAAGGAAGAAAGAAAAAAGGAGCTAAAGAAAGATAGAATGATAAAAAGAAAGAGAGAGAGAGAGAGAGAGAGAGAGAGAGAGAGAGAGAGAGAGAGAGAGAGAGAGAGAGAGAGAGTTAGAGAGAGAGAGTTAGAGAGAGAGAGAGAGAGAGAGAGAGAGAGAGAGAGAGAGAGAGAGAGCTAGAGAGAGAGCGAGTTAGAGAGAGAGAGAGAGTGACAGTGACAGAGAAAGAGAGAGACACAAACAAACAGAGCCCCTTTTAACAACATACCAACAAAACCACAAACGAAACACCATACCCCCCCTCCCCTCCCGAAAAAACCCGACCCACCACAAAAAACCCACAAAAGTCAAAAAGAAAAAAAAAAAGAAAAGAAAAAAAGTCCCCCCCTAGGAGCAAAGGACGCAACTAACCTTGTGATGCACCTCCTTCAAGTGTCTCTGCAGCGCCGCCCGAGAACCCAAGATCTTGAAGCACAACTTGCACTGGAATTCCCTCAGGACTTCGGCCATGT